CTGAGTCACAGTTCTAGTTACAGTAGTTATAGTGCACTCCATACAACTGGACAATAGAACAGTGTTTAATAAACACAGCCTTAATGGTCTTGGATGCTGTAATACATACGTTGTCTTGCTGTGAGTGCATCGTTTGCAATTTGACAGTGGCGTCTCTTGTGTTTCAGCACCACCAAATTATGCTGATGTAGTGTCTGAGGAAGAGTTCTCCAGACATGTCCCTGCTTATCCACCACCAATTGACTGTGAGGAACAATTGTGTTGTCCTGTCTTTGCTTACATACAAGAGTTCCGGTTTCAGCCTCCACCTCTTTATTCAGAGGTAAGAAAATAAACAGCAGGTGGTGTTTTTATTGCCAGACGGCAAAAAAAAACCCCAAAAGATACAGAGAAATGCAAGAATTACAGGGAGTAATTGTTGCCTTTCTTCCCTCTGTAGATCGATCCACATCCAACTGATGTAGAAGAAATTCAGCCTGTTTCATTCATGCTCTGAAGAGGATTTGTAATGAGCATCATTGTGATGAATGTCTTAATCTTTTTGCTGCTTAAGCTGATAGTGCAGCTAGAAAGGAAACGGTTTTGTTTTTCAAAACTTAAGTTTGTGTACAAGAAAGGCAAAGGAAAATGGAGAGGGAGGTATGAGCATGTTTGGTGGTGAAAGAGAATCTGCTGGATTAGTCTGCACAGAAGATACTGTGGGAGCAGCTATGCATGGGATACTTGAGAAGCACCTGAAAATACTGAATGCTTTCTAAAAAGTGGATATACTACATAAAGTACGAGGAGGAGACGGAAGGATCTTCTGAAGAAAAAAGAATTATATTTTGTTTGGAACACTCCGGAAGAATTTACCTAATGCTGTTGAGAAATTTGTAGTAGAACTTGCGTAGTAGAACAGACTGTGGGGTAAGAAAACATTTCCAAAAGATTCCAGTGTTCAAAGGGGCTTCAGTTTTGCACTGTCTGCATCCAAGAAAGGAACACTACTAAAATGTGGAGTGAAGTCTTCACTCTAGCTTAACTTCGTATTTCTTGAGAACCTGTCCTTCTAACAACTGCCAAGTGGTACTATTTCATCATTCATACTGATTCTAAAGACGTCATGGATGACAGAATAGTTATTACGCAATATTATGAAGGCAACCATTTACTGAATGAAAGACACAAGTATGTAAAAGAAAACTGAACTTTGATAAGAGCTTATGCACTATGCTTTCTTTCAAGGGATTTCTTAAGGGAATTGTTCTAGCCTCTTCTACTGTGAGTTCTTTTCCTGCATCTTAAGCCTATGGATAGCATGATAAGGGGAAGCATGGCAAGGGAGAGTCCTTTTGCCAACAGCAGGTATACATAGCAAAATGGACAATACTTATTTATTCAGAAGCCTTTATAAGCCTACCTCTGTTTTGGATATTTACTTACGGTCAGATTTGAGACCAAAAAAAGTCTTGTTAAAGCTCCAGTATACTTCAAGGTTCTAAAAGGGACCCTAAATGGTTTCTGTGGTTAGTGAATGAGATAGGAGGTGTAGGGAGAGGTGTAAATATACCCAGAATAGACATAGCTTATAACTGAAGTGAAAGCAGACATCAGGGGAACAAAATCCTCTGGTAATGGCACAAAGCTTTTCATTACTCCTGCATTTTTGTCTAGAGATCTGTTGTCAGGGGCTGCACTGGTCATTGGCTATCCATACTATTTTTGTTAGTGTGTCTCCTTGTTTGTTTTTGCTGTTTAATTTTGTTTTGGTGCAATATTTTAATGTTTTCTTCCTCAGGTCATTTAGAACAGTGAGAGTTTGTTGCTGCTAAGAGTGAAGGCACAGCATTTTACTTGGCCCTTCTGCTGCCTTCATTTAAAGTAGAATGTTTGCTTCCTGCCAAGCATCAATTGGAATAAGTAAGCCACCATCAACAGATCACTTAAAGGAGCAGAAACACAGCATTCTCAATGTGCACGTTTACAGTCGAGACTTTAAACTACAGGGGATTTTGAACTCCTAGAACTACTCCTTATGTCTTACAGAAGCGTGCGGGGTTAAATCCCGGTGCTTCACGTGGTAAAACATTGTACTTTCTGAAAACTACAAGAACAGTAATTGAGTTTTCCTTCGTTTCATCAATAACTGCAGTTTAAAAACGTTTAAATGTTTTTTATGAAATCTGTCTTCATTTAAGAAGCAGGGATTTTTCTACAGGCATACACGGATATATATTTTTAGTCGTCCTTTAGTATGACTTCCTTACATTGTCTGATTTCTAGCACTTCACCTCAAGTTACTTTTACATCAGTGTAAAAGATGCTCATTGGGATTCACGTTTCCAAACTGCAGTTATTTTTTCTCATTTGCAACTTTAATTACTGTCTTCTATAGCAATGCAGCTTTAACCAAAATTTTGAGTGTATGTTTTAGAAAGTACATTCTAAAACGTAGTATTTCTCTGAAGTCTCAAGATGTAGCTCTCATGCCTTTTTATTTAAGTGATGGCGTGCCCATACAATCAGTGCAGGATTTTCATTCACATCACCTGGAAAGGGAACAAGTATATTCCTTAAACAGAGAGCATTGTAGTTACTTGAAAAGTAATGTGGCTGTGTATTAACTTGCATGTTAAGAATTCAAAATACTAGCTTAAAGAACATTAGGTGCTTTTTTGGACTGTAATACCCAATAGGTGATGTGTGCTACCTGGTATAAACATGGTCAAGCAAACAAGAGCATGAAGGGTAAAGATGTGCTTTCTTTTTTCTTTTATTTTTTTCTTAAAATATTTGAGTTGGTTTTTTTTATTATTTGCAGATAAACTGTGGCCTTAGATTGTTTGCTGCAAAAAAGACAAACAACTAGAGTGTGTTTCTTAGGAAGCACACGTGGCCCTTCCAAGGAGGGGTGAAAATAAGATTAAATTCTGCTCTCTGACACTTGGCTTAGTGCAGAAGTTGATCCTTAAAATAATTACTGTTTGCACAATAATAAGTTCAATATGCAGGGGCTTTGTTTTGATAACTGTGAAACAGTTTAAAAGAGACAAAATAAAAAAAAAACAACCATGCTGTTTAACACACAGGAACATGATTGTATTTTGTACTAATGAATGAGCCCCATGGGTTCTTTGTTAATAAAAAGTGTCAAACCTACGTAGTGCTGTGCATCTCTGTTTTGGGGTCTCAGACAAATGGCTGCAACGTCCAGAAACACATTTGAACACGTACAGATCTCCACATCCTGTTCTGATCTGGGAACTCTGCCTTCACCTTTAACTGCTTTAGTTGCCTGAAGTATCCCTACCCAAGAACTGGAACAAATTTATCAAATGTGGTCTGCTCTCAGCTATAGTTTTTACATGATATACAGGACTTAATTGTGGAGATCTTGCCTATAATGACTGAACATTCAAAACCCGCCTGGACGCCTTCCTGTGTAACCTTATCTGGGTGTTCCTGCTCCGGCAGGGGGATTGGACTGGATGAGCTTTGGAGGTCCCTTCCAATCCCTAACGTTCTGTGATTCTGTGAACTGACAGGATGTGTGCTGTAATTGGATTTCCCATCTCTTGTATTTACCTTACAGGATATTTTATTGTGTGTTTATCTTCAAACAAGATTATAACCATAGTGCAGAATGACTAAAGCAGAGCAGCTCCTATGATGGGAAAACTGATCACAAATTGCATTGAATTGTATCTACCACATAGCTCACCTAAGCCATAAAGATGAAATCTCTGCCAGGGTCCTGCCTCATGAAGATTTGAGGAACACAAAACAGAGCAGTTGAGCTCTTCTTCCTGTTCCCACTTTTGAGGGAAGATGGCAAACCTTTCCTTGGACAATCCAGGCAAAGATGCTGTTCAGGATCAGGGGATCAAGCACTGGAGCTTGCATAAGAGGTCATGACTCTGAAAGGAAAACCCTCAAATTCTGACCTGGGACTTCTAAAAGGTCTCTTACTCAGTGGTCCTAAAATAATCCTATCACTCAGTTCACAGTAGCAGTTCCACTTCATCTGCTGTTAAGTTTTACAGGGGACTATTTCTCTTGACAAACTAATTGTCTATTTAAAGGTGTTTAGTATTTGAACAGGTAGTAAACTATGTGCTCTGCTATGCAGGGACAGAGCAGACACTTCGGGCTTGTCTTCACAACTCTGATACTTCTGGTGTTTACATTGAAAGACATCAACCCTGGGGGCACGTTACAAACTTTCAAAGTAGCATCTTCCATTACTTCACCAGCCAATTTGAACAGAAGATAATCAATTGCTCTACTGCCCCCCAAAAACACACAGCAGAAATCCTTACTTTCTAGTAAAATTTACTGATTTTCAGTGCTCTCCTTAGGACAGCAAATGAACACGGGGACATAGAAACCAACTTTCAGACTGCTGCAATTTCTAAAGCTGATGGTGTAGTATGCTAACATCAACACAGATAGTACAGGCTAATGCACAAAGGACATTCTCTGAAGAACAAATCAGGTCTATGATGAGCCTGATCATTCACTTTAATACTAAAATTTTCTATGTAGGATAGACAGGGTGACAGACTTGTTCCAAATTATGTAGTGGTCATAATTTCTAAGCAGTTAATATTAAATAATGGTACACAAAAGCTGCACTAGAGCATCACCATGGCATTGGCATTTTAGGAAAAAGTTTCTCATAAAAGTAAGTCAAGAAACCCATAAAGCACAGCTTCACATGGAATGCAAAATGGGAACTCAAGTGGGCCTTCACTGGAGCAGGTGCTTATGCCAGCAACAGGCTGTGGGCCAGGCCGCCTTAGTTACACAGGCCAGGCTCTATCTGATTAAGTACAACTGTATTACTGATAAATCTCAGTGCCCATCCCTTCAAAAGAAAAGAGGAAATCCTTCTTAGTTTTGGCTTACATTCGACCATCTGGCTGCCTGTAGGGTGAGGAGAATGTGAACCGTAAGGTGAAAGTAGGAGCAAGTGCTGGTGCTTGACAGACACCTACAAAAATAGATTGCCTCAAATAATCCAAAAAAAAAGGCAGAGCAGCCCAAAACACTTTTACACAAATGCAGAGGGTATTTGCTGTGTCAACTGATGGTAGAGTTTCTTACTATTCCTTGTGGTCTCAAATAAGTGACTGTGGTCAGATGAAGGATAAGTAAGCATCATTTCAGGCCTATTTTAGCACTCAGCCTCCATGACAGCCTAACAAAAAGCATCACCCAAATACCAGACCAGCCCTTCTGCTTTGCTCCTAGCTGTACTCAGCATCCCAGACCTCTCTGGATACCCTTACCCTGCTCTCCCCTCTCCAGCAGAATGACTCATTGAGCCTTTTTTGTCACATAAGACTCAGCTGGAAGCCTCTGTAGGCTCACTCAGATGGGGACAGCAGCATAAAGACATCTCTAGTCTTACTAAATAGGAGAACAGAGGGAAAAATGGTAGGCAGCCACTGGCATGGGAGTTGTGGGATGTATACTGGACAAGTGGAGAAATGGGGAAGGTATGGAGAGGAGAAGTGGTCAGGTAGAGGACTCAGACAGCAGCGAGCACTCCCAAAACAACCACTCATCCCTGAGACTTTGCCTCAGACATGGTGAGACATGATGTGCCCAGACAGGATGCAGTTATGTAGGCTAAACCCAGCCAAATATTTTTGGCTATGAAAAATTCTCGTTATTTTACAGCGCCTTGCAACAGCATCAGCCTCCCCATAGATCAGGCATTGGACACAGAGAGGTGTCGTGCCGACTGTCACAGACGACAGCAGAAGGTGGCTG